TAGTTGCTTAAAATAAAAATAAAATCGGCTCCTTGTTTTTCGACTCGAGCAGCATCGACGTGTCTGGTAGCAGGCGGTGCATGTCTGTGACGCTCTGCTCCGATCACAGTCCAGCTCCTGCAGTGCACCTGCTGCATGTTGGAACTACGCTCAATATAAAGCTGCGTTCAACAACAATCCAGAGTTACACGTCCAGACTCGTATCAGCCGTTAGCAGGTGCACATGTCGATGAATAATAAGAAATGATCGATAGAAACAAATATCTTTGATTGATAGGTAGGAATAAAATATACAAAGAATTTAAAAAGCTCAAAATAGAATGTAATACACATAAAATGTACTAAAGACTGCATACTCCCTGAGTAAATGAAACACAACAAAGTACTAGAACACATAGTAAACTACTAAATATATTAGAACAATGAATAAGCCTATAAACAAGAGACTGGATTCAAGAGATGACTTAAATGTATGACATGGTATTATGTTGTGTCGTCTTTAATTAAAGCAACATTAGAAGTTTATTAAAATAGAGACGCCTTCTGAGGGAGCGTCACACAGAGCCGGAGACGATGACAGTTTTTATTTTTCACGTTTGTTTCAAGTGCGTTCGTTCAAAAAGATCTTTCAAGTGCAGCAGTCGACAAAGTTTTTATTTTCTGGTTTCCAACAAGTATGAATAATAAGAGTCTGAGTGTCAAAGTCAAAATGTGATCAATAAAAGGAAGACGAGATCGGAGTACATGTACAAGATTAAATCACAGATTCAGTACAGTTCTCTTTTATTTTCAGGACGTCATCGCTCCACCGCTCGTCTCATCCCACCAGCGGCTTCATTGTTAACGAGACCTGTTTGGATTCATGACATTTATTTGAGAAGAGAAACCCTGAGTCTCCCACAGGGATGAGGTTGTTGGCTTTTCATAGAGCGTATGTTACATGATATTCCTGAATGCTGTTTGAGGCTCGGCACGGCGTTTACAAAGGTCAGACATCTCAGCAGCTCTGCCTCGGTAACAATCACAGGATGTCCTCTGGGTCACACTGAACGTCTCATTGTAGAACCATCGCTGCTCCCATCACACTGTTAGAACCATTGACCATTCTCGTCTTCTCTTTTCTCGACCGTTTATTCAATCTGGAGTAAACTCCTACTCTGCGTGTAATGTTTACCTAAATTATACACTGTGAAATTCAAGATCGTAAAAAAATGGGAATTTGATAACGACATCCATCAGTTTCTAAAAGTCCACATTTGTCAGGTTCTACTATTCACAAGTCCACGTACACAACTGGAAACTTAACTGAGCCACCTGCAGAAAGCCAAATGTGCTACTGTAATAAATACTCCACGCTTCATTAAGTGTTCCACCCCGGTGAGAGAATAAGTTCTGTAAGTGTTCAGCACCGTGACAAGTTTGTTCTCCCCTGTTGTTCCGATGCTGAGCAGCCGAACAAAGATAGAGCTCTGTGGGATTCCTCAGGGCGGCCGAGGCCTCTCCTGTGCAACTAAAGAAAAACTCATCTTCCTGCGAAGCTTCGTTAAATCTGCTCTAAAGGCTCGACTCAAAACCGCCTCCTGCTGAATTTACATTTACGTTAATTCTCCACATGTATGTTGACGTTTCACATAGTTAATATGCATTTTGCTGAAGGCGCAGTTCTTAATCCACACACACACACACACACACACACACACACACACACAATCAATGTGGACTGTGCAACAAACAACAGAGACAGTCATGTTCTACCAGCAGGCGGAAGCAGAGAAGATGGACAGGAGAGAGTTAACGTGGGTGGAAACTCACATCAAGTGAGCTTTTCGCTCATGGAGAGGGATTAAATGCTTCTCACTGGAAAACGGAGGTCGGATTCAATCCAGCCCCCCCCTCCTCTCTTCTTTTCCCTCTTTCAATTCTCTCCTCACTCATCCTGTCTCTGTTCTTTCTCTCTCCTTCATCTCTCTCTCTCTTTCATTCCTCTGTCCTCTTAACTTCGTCTTTTTATTCCAGATGCTCCTCTCCTGGCTGATGTCCCAAACATTTACAGTCTAATTTATGAATTCCAATATTGCAGTTTTGGATGTACAAATCTTCCTCAAAGGCAGAAAAACGCACAAACTACTTTATTATTCGTTCGTTCTCAGTTTGTCACACATTCGCTGTGATTGGCTCCAGCAGCAGCAGCAGCAGCAGCGCTCACTGCTGTAGGCGATGTGGTTAATGTAAAACTCATTTGCACTAACAGGTTCCAGAGAAATCGTTCATGCTGCTGGGATTACACTGACTTCTGTCAACCAGACCTTAGCTGTGTTTAAACTAAGCATGATGAAATCTTCTGATATTATTGTGGTGTGCAGAGATAACCCCCCCCCCCCTCCCGAGGCCTGGTGGTGCCCGCATAGAGACCTTGTTTACCTCGGTTACAGTTTGCGTCCTTAAACACACCTTCACCACAACGTCCGGAGCTTCTTTGAAACACACACAAAGCTTCACCAGAACAAGAGAAGGTGATAGCTGAGCTCGGTACTTTTATTTTTTTCTCCCAAAGGCCGGATCTTTTTCACAACTGCACCAGCAGCACACAATAGTTACTCCCGTCAGCCGTGTGAGGGAGGAGGAACAAACCTAGAAGCAGGAAACATACAGTATGTTGTTTTTCCTGAACATGGTGGGAAAAGTGAATCACAGACTTTAGCTCTGGAGCACAGTCCCCTTGAAGACACATATAATATGTTGATTTTAAACTGAATCCACATCACGTCACATCAGAACTGCCTCCAGTGTTCCTGAAGTTCTTCAATCTACAGATCTGATACCACATATTTTTAGGAATTGTAGCTTCACCGCTCAGAAACAGCAGCTGCAGTGTTCAGCCACTGGTAACCTCTGTTTTCGAGGGATTTCTGGTTGTGTAGCTACTTTGGAAACTGTCTTCAAACAACGACGTGACCATTTCAACCAAGACAGCAGGAAGGATAACCAACAAACTTCCAGTTCATGTTCTCGACTATCAACCCCTGACAAACCCAACAACCTTTAATTATTCCAGAGGAAATCAGTGAGAATGTCAAGAACAACCTGTCTCGCAATGTTTAAGAACATTCCTGGATCTTTTCGTTTTTGCGTAATCCTGTTAACAAGCAAACGTAAACTCCCTCTCAGAGGCGACAGTCAGACTCGTCTTTGGCGTGTACAATAAGTAACTCCTGTTCTAGTCGTGGTTCAAACATGTAGTTAAACTCAAGTGTGCAGCAGAACTGACGGAGGAACACGACAAATAATCCTGCGTCAATAATCGTTTCAATAAAAAGGAAATTAGACGTGATCAGCCCTAATGAGGAGCTCTTCTGTTTCTCAACATCGGTGAGCTGAAGTCTGATCCTGGAGCTGCCGCATATTAACACACATCTCATGCTTTGGATTATTGGCAACAAGCATTAGTCTGTTTCGTGATAAATCAAACAATTCTTGTGTGGGACATATTCTTCTTCCTGCAGTGAAGAAACGCTGCTGCAGAAGACAGAAAACCCTCCGAGTGTTTTCACTCTGTCTTATTTTTGGAAACCTCTCGCCTGTGAGGAGAAGACCTCCTGCCTCTGTCATCTCTACATGATGAGTCACACCCAGAACTGCAGCAGGTGGAGACGTGGGAGGGAACAGGGTCTGACAGTGTTTGAAGGGAGATGTTGTTTGAGCTGATCTGTTGTGTTTCAGGGAATTCATCTTGTTTTGATCGAATGTTTTATTTATATAAACTATTATTTGTCGTGTGGTACTTAATGTGTAGTTTGCGCAAACCGTGGTTTTCAGCTCAAACACATTCTTCTTCTTTGTTTTGTAGGAACGTTTCACGCTGGGACACGATTTATACCCGAATTTACTTTCCACGTCTGCAGCTTTAAGAGTCCAAGTGAAGCGCAGAATGTCATCTGCTCGTTAGAGAGCGACCGATATGGACGGATGCAGATATTGATGTCACCAATTATCAAACACGTCCACAGTCCACGAATGGAAGATGAAGAGAATTGCATGTGTACCCACCAATTCAAAGATATTTTCAACTTTTTATCTTTAAAACTAGAAACATCATTAAACTGATGAAAAAAAAAAAAGACGTCACCAATGTTGTTGGAATATTTAAACTTGTTTTTGACATTTTATCAGCCGAGCAGTAATCATTCCCGTCATGCAGGACTTTATGAGGTTCTTCTGGGATTCAGCAGGAGCCAGGCTATCGACAGGATTCTAACACGATGTCAGTCCCCTGATAAATAATGAGGGAGTTTCTCACACTGTCAGACTGAAGCCCAGAGGGAAGAGCTCCTGATGAAGGGCCACTGCAGTGTCACATTTCCTGACACCATCTTGTCAAAAATGTCAACTTGCTGCTTCAGCTTGACAGAAATCACTTCTCACAAAAACTGCAATATGTTCTGCTCCTGCTGGCTCAGGGAAGATTCCACACCACCAGAACATATATATACATATATATCTATATAGATATATATGTATATGCTGTAAAGAGGTCCACAATCTTAAATGCCTTCAAATATTACGTAGTACATCTTAAATATGATTACGAAGGTTTTAATTGCGTTCACGGAGAAACGTTTTGGCCGCATATATAGTTTGAAAAGTCTCCATTCTTAGTGATAAGAGATATTTACACACTGTAATAAATCTGCAAACAAGATTATGTAAATATAGCTCAGTCAGAATTGATCTCAGTTCACTCCACCATGGATTCTGACTCTCTCTTTCTGTAGTTTCCAACATGACGCGACATCTCCAGAGTTATTCACTTCTTCTGGGACTCTGATATTCCTTCATATTAATGTCACTGGTCTTGAATTTCCTTCATTGCGGTCTGAAGAACTTGTTGTGAATCCTGTAGGGACTCTCATAAAGGAATCCAGTGTTCATGTTGTTTCTATCACAGAAAAACACCCACAGTTCTCTTCATGTGTCGTTTTTCTTTTCTTGTGTTATTGCAGATCTTATCGTAAAACTGGCAAAAGACAAGTTTGGAGCCATTCAGACGGAATATCAAAAGGTAAGAGTGTGTGTGTGTGTGTGTGCTTTAGTGCATTCTGTTTTTCTAATCACTTCTTGCAGTATATGATGTGAATTACAGGAGACGTGCACCTCAGAGACGCTCTGTAGTCTGTGACTGTTCTGGAGCGAGGTGTTAATAGCTTTTGTAAACCGAGGCGATCTTATCACCGGGACCGCAGAAAAGAAAAATGCTTCTGGCAAAATGTATGAATTTAAAGAAGGAAACAACATGTGAGTTTTTATAAATAACAACCTGATAGTTTCTTCAACTCTCTGTTTGTGCCTGAGACCTAAAGAAAATACAGTTTGAGTTCATTCTCAAGCTGTTTCCTAATTATAGAGGCTTCCACTCTCTGTCTGTGTGCAGTATTTACAAAATGCAACTATGTGGATATGCATGCCGGGTTTTAAATACTTTATTTTATTTTATTTTTTTCATCCACGTGTTTCTGTTTTGTGGCTTTGCTCTTTCTTTGACGCTGAGTTGCCTTTGTCTTCTGCATGCCCTCTTCATCTGATCTGGTCTCCCTCAGCCAGAGAACATAGTGCTGACCCTCCAGGTAAAGTCTGCACTTCACTGGATTTACAGTCAAACCTGTCCCCCTGTGTCATCCTGCTCCATCCCATCCTTTAAGTCAGTGGTTCTGCACAGCGTAAACAGAAAACCTACACGTCTCTGTCTCCATGCATTGGCTACATTTTCATTATCAGAGAAGACAAGATGAGTTGTGCAGCTCTACGACTTCCACCCATCCCTCCCATCCACCTCACAACCACCTTGACATCCGCCCTCTGGCTCGCTCAGTCTTTCATTAGTGACACTGATGAAAACCCTTCGTCCCTGACTGTGATCCTCCTGCATCATCGCAATCAGGATAATGCAACAGTTCATCATGAGTGTAGTGGAAACATATAGTGAAATAATACCCTGTTTCCATTCTTTCTCTGCTGGGGACTTGTGGGAGGATAGCGTGCAACACATACCGCCACATTCCCGTCATTGCCTATCAAACCACACATAATGGAAGAAATACCAACGTGGGTTTGGCGTGGTTTATTCAAGGGTCTCGTTTTACTGCTGAATCTGTGAATTTCAATACTTATAGTGAACTTTTAGCTGCACGCTCAAAACTCTGTTCTGCTCTTTGAGTTTCCCTGATTGTAATAACTGACCCTGTGTGTGAGTAAAGCACAACTGAAAACTGTTCAGTGGTCGTATAGTGAATTCCTTCGAAACTGCTGGTCGGTCGTCTAATTTGCTTCTCAGCAGTATTTCCCTCCCTGATATCCGCACTAACCACAGCAAGTAAAATCCACATGTTAACACACACACACACACACACACGCACACACACTTGATCTTATGCGTGCTGATGTTGGCAGAATTCTCTCTACGACTGTAAATCTTCACACACTGACCTGCACCACTGACACACAGTGTGCAGCACCACCACAGCTTCACAGCATCAATTCAAACCTCTTCTCGTCAGTTTACAAACAGAGACAAAACAGCCGACACGCCAACAACCACAACCTCCTTGGCGAAACACTTGACCACCCTGACACCTGCAACCTAAAGTATAGCAGATAACTTTGCTAACTTTAAACTGGTCGCTCTTAAAAGGGTCAGTGAAAGGCCCTGTGTAATCTTAGTCTGGATTAAAAGTATATTTAGCTGTGGACAAAAGCTCAGGCTAATAAAATTTAAAAAAACAAAACAAGACAATGACGTTCTTAGTTTTCTATGTATTTGTTATATTTCCTGAATCATGTAATGGAAATTCAAAAGCAAATATACAACAATATATAAGTTTGAATAAAGACATGAAATGAATAACAAGGCTGCATATTGGTTGTCCTTTTGATGGTGTTGAAATTGCGTCACTGAGAATATCATGTATCTGCTGAGGCTCTGATTGGCAGCCACTCCCACTTTACTAGCAACATGATCCAGGTCAGGATAATGAATCAAACCCTGACACAAAAAAAACAACAAAAAGTCACATGATTAATCGGCTCACAGCGGCTCGTACATGTCAGGCATTTAAATGGACACTCAGTGACGGCATGTTGCTCGAGGACACTTCAGCAGAGCTTGTGGCCGCTGCTTTGATGAAATCGGATTTCTGAAGGAACGCCCGTCTTCACCGCTCACACATGCTGCCGCCTCAACATCCAGTTTGCTCTTGTTAGAAGGTCACCTTCCTCTTTTGGGCACTTGTTAAGATAAAGCTACGTTCCAAAAATAGCCGGAGCTGCAGGCCCTTGAAGAGCGTTGGTGGAAAAATAAAACATTTTGTCCTTCTTTTGTGAAGATTCGCCCAATAACAAGCGAGAGCCCAGGGGCAGGATGACAACGCAAGCGTTCAGATTTGCACAATGCCCTCGACACATGGGCTGACGTTGGTGATTTAAAGGCTCATTCACGCTGCCCCGATGTACAAACATGGACACGTCAGTTTTAAACGATGTTACCGCCACTGCCCGCGTACTTCCATTATCTGACGACAACACGCACGGCAACTGTGGAAGAGGTTTTGATTATCTATCTCTTAAAGGTTCAGTGTTTAGAATTTAGTGACATCTAGTGGTGAAGGTGCATGTTGCAGCTGAATACCCCTCACCTCACCCTCCCCTTCCAAACGTGACAGAGAACCAGTGTAAACCTTCAGTTGTCATAAAAACTCAAAAAGCATGTTAAGTTTATCCGGTCTACTCTAAAAAAAAAAAAAGAAGCTTTTTCTGCATCTGGACAGAGCAGTTTGTTCTGTCCTCTCTGTTCTCTGACCCCAAGATTCGATTCGGTCTGAGAGTGTGTGAGTGTCAGCTTGTAAACTCCTGTAGATCCCTGACACAGCCAGAATCCTCTCGCATCCGAACGGCGGCTTTCGGAGTTTTGGATTATTCTCACAGCTGGAGCTCTCCCCAGTTTTCATAAAGACTTTTTTAAATCAAGTAGAGACAAGTTTTTTCTTTCTGACGTGTTCACTTCTTTTCTCTCGCTGCATGTTAAAAAGTAAAAGCTGCAGGTCCCTGTAGAACGCAGGGTCGTTGACCTATGCGGGCGATTAAGATTAGTGCGAATCAGCTGGGAGAGCAGTTTGTCCGTTCAGGAGCACGGGCAGCAGCGCCGCTTTGATCCTTTTATAATGAGACGCTATTGAGCTTCATTGTGACAAGTTACATACGGTGTGGGAATTACCAACCCCCTATTCAATTTTGCCAATTTCCAAAGCCTGTGCTGAGTGCGGTTTAGATAGGAGCAGATTAAGCAGCGGCGCTGTCGTACATGACAAGAGGAGCTAGAGGATCCGAGCCGGCAAACACGACAGCAGCAATTTAACTCTCTCGTCATAGCCGGAGAAATTTGTAAGAAATCGCATCGAGTCACCTTGAATATTTCTGATATTCAGTCAAAGTCACAGTTTATCGAGATGTCGGGTTGAGGAACGAGCAGATTTCCAAAAGGAATCCTCAGCCAAGTTGTTAGTATCCCTCCACTAACTCCTCCCTGACATATAGTCCTGATGTTTTAATCTTACTGGTCTTCACCATCATGTATTAACCATCTGACCTCTCTTCACCCATTAAAGGAGACATGTGATGCCTTGTTCAGTCTTTCCTCAAGTGTCTTATAGGCCTTATAAGTGTCCAAGTGCTAGCTGCTAGCTAGCCTGACCCGCCCCTTAACGAAGCTCCTGTGCCTTCACAAGCTCCTCAAAATGTCCCAGTTCCCTGAGGTGTGAAGTTGTTTTCCTCCAAAGTCTGAATTTGGTAAAAGAAAACATTGACACTGCAAAGTTAAGGTGTTGAATTTATGTGTTTGGAGCGTTTATACAGCACCTTGACACCTACTCCAATATTTGCTTCGTGACAAAGAGTAAAGAAACAGGTTTGACAAGCAAATGTCAATGTCAGTGTATTTATATAGCGCATTGAAACAACATGGTTGACCAAAGTGCTTCACAATACAAGGTCCAACAAGAGGACAGTAACACGCAATACATCAGAATAAACATAGAATGAGAGAGAAAGTAGAATGATAAAAACATTTTAGTAAAATATAAGATACATAATAAAATAAAATAAATAAAGTAAGCTGGGATAAAACTTACTCAGCTCGAGGAGAAGGCCAATGAGAACAGATATGTTTTTAGTAGTGATTAGTAGTGAAAGTTTGCGGGGGACTGTAGTGAAGTCTTAGCTTTAAGGTATATTTGAATGTCATCTGCAAAGCAGTGGAAGGAGACATTGTATTTTCCAAACATTGATGCTAGGGGCAGCGTATATAGGGAGAATAGGATCGGGCCTAGAATGGATCCTTGAGGTACACCACATGTAATAGATAATTTGCATGTTAATCATAAAAAAAATGAGAATTTTACCCAGTAGCTTCCAGCTGGCCAATTAGAGCAGGCTTTTGACGGGAGGTAAAACCAAGTGTTTGAGACAGAGGCTGAAAGGAGGAGCTGCAGCAGTGGACAGTCTGACAAAAGTGACGCGTTGTCTGAAAATAAGAGCATTTAAACTTTTAAACTTATGATCTGAATATGTCTCCTTTAACTGTTTATTAACCTTAACAGCTTCCCTGTATGTGAACTTAATTTAACATTGTTCAACAGGTGAAATGAAAGAACTGAAGAATCGAGATTTTATGCATTTTTCAGTTTTATTAGCTCCACCCGCTCAAAACGATTCCAGACCAACAGCGGTGCAGTATATTCTCACCTGAAGGTTTAATGGTTACTCATAGTTTTAAAGTGTCGTAGAGATCTATTGATTCAACTTTATGGTCATTTCGGAGGCTGTACTTCATCATGAGTGGAGTTACCTTATACTAAGTGTTTCTAATATTTGTTCTACTTCATTGATTTAAATGGGATTAATAAATTGAATACCGGGAGGACGCAGGGCTCTTACATCAGAGTGCATCAGTTTAATCTGGCTGTGTATTTGTTACTGCATTTCTTCAATATCAGCCATAACGAGGGAGGTTGCAAGGTTTTTGAACTAAAAGATTATCCAGCCAGTGCCAAGAGATACTTTCACCTGTTTCGCGTATTCCTCAATTAGTTGTAATCAATCATCTCCCCCCAGGGGCTTATTTGTCTTCTTGTTTCCAGAAAATCGGGATTTCATGACTCGATGCGAGTTTAAAGAGCTTCTCGTTGCTGCAGAGCACTAACTGCTGTGTAGTCCATTCCTATTGAAGCAGGTTTTTCATCAGATATGCTTTTCTCCTTCATTAGAGTGAGAAAAAACTGCACCACGGGGTTACACAGACGGCTCTGACTCCTACAATCCTAAATGTGTTGTTATCCTCTCAGTGCGTTTTGCACTTTAATGAAAATTTATGTAAAAACAACCTTTAAGAATCGCTCTCTGTTAGTTTACGAGCTGCTCTCAGTGCAGGGGCAGTGTTTTCATCTCACAGCTTTTAAGAGTCTTGGCATCTGTCTTGAATAATATTGTTTCCAAAGTGTTGATCATTGAATTTGCTGTGGTATTTAAGAAAGAAAAGGATTCTCCAGCAGCGATTAGCGTTATGCAATGTGTATTTTGTTTATCCACAAATCCCCTTTGGACAAAGAGAAGAGAGAGAATTTCCTGCAGTGGGATCCTACAAGATATTTTTAGATTTGTCGCTCGTTTTATCCTCAGCATCCTTGTGTGTGTCCTCCCTTTCTCTCCTTTATGTCATCGTTAATCTATCCTTTCTTCTCTCCCTCACTCCCCAACTCATCCGCTCTCTCCTCCTGATACAATCCCACCACCACTTTAATCTCACCTCTTTTTATTTAACCTCTTTTTCTTGCTTTTCCACCTCTGATGCCCATTTCTCACCTCATCATATTTCGATGCTCGCCTCTATTATGTTTCCTTATTCCTCATCTTATTATTTTTCCCTTTTCATTCCACCACCACCCCCCACGCTGATCCCAGGCCATCTACTACGAGATAGGCTTCCTCGTGTGTGCGGCGGTGGGCCTGCTGTTCACCGTTCTGTTGCCGTTAGTCGGCCTCTTCTTCTGCATGTGCCGCTGCTGTGACAACTGCGGCGGCGAGATGCACCAGCGCCAGAGGAAGAACGCAGACTGCCGGCGCGGCCTGCTGGGAACGCTGCTCTTCTCCACCTCACTGGTCATCACGTGAGTACGACACATGCACACGCACACACAAGGGAAATATGCAAGCAGGCATGTTTTATACACTGAACGCACACGTATGCAGCAATATAAACAAGCTATATGCACAAATACAGGCTACACACATCCGGGGAAAAACACACTGTACACACATCTCTTGTTATCTTGTGTGTCCTTTTCATGCACACACACACACACACACACACACACACACACACACACACACACACACACAAATGCTGGTCATCAGCCTGCCTTCCCCATCCCCCCCTGCTGCTATATATAGTAAAGACCTGCTGTAGATGTTATGTGGCAGCACCCTTCATATTTGTGTTTGGTCTCATCTTCAAGGAATTCACATTTTAATTCACTGTGGTGATTTTTATAATTATCATTATTATATATACACATATATAAAACATATAAAACAATAACAAATCGTCATCATCACAGAAACACCAAAAGTCTGTCTCAGCTGTCGATCGTGACGTTTCACCGCATTTTTACAGCAGAATTTAACAGATTAAAACTAAATTTACCAGAAAATGAAACACCAGCGTGATAAGAACTACGTAAAATGACAGAAACCATCTATGAAAACAAAAGATTTAACATGTACTCCTACTTTTTGTAGGAGGCAGGGTTTATAACATGTACTGGAGCCAGCCACCAGGGGACTTTCAAGATGTTTGGCTTCACTTTCAGGCAGTTATCATGTCGTCCATCTTTATTTACACTCTATGATTTAGGATTTCGGCAATAAATAGTTTGAAGTTTGGAGAATTTCTAGATTTCCAAAGTTTGATTGATTAATTGATTGTTTGAATCTCAGAATTTATTAGTTAGAACCTAATTAATCTGATCGAACCAGAACTGGTTCTATAATAGTGAATAGGATTAAAAAGGAGACTAAGACTCTGTTGACTGATCAACCTAAACTAAAAACTGTTCTCGTCATACAAAGGCGAAAAAGAAAAAGTTCATAATTCACCTGCACTTGTCATTAGTAAATAAGTAAGTTAATGGAAAGTGAAAAAGAATTGTGAAGAAAGTGACAAGATAATGGAAAATGATTTGTGAAGTGTTTAGCTTCACATACTTGGGACTAAAGCTTTAAGCTTTGAAACTTACCGTGTGTTTATTCTATATATTAGCACATTACATCTCTGTCTGTCCTTTATCTCACACAAATCATCTCCGAGAAAACTGGGAAACTCAATCCACGCTCTGTTGTGCCGTCTCAGTGGAGGGAGCAGCAGTCGCCGCTGGGGATGTAGCCGCAGCACAAAAGGCTTAGCAGGGCGTTCTCATCTTGTGCTTGACTGAAGGGATCCAGGAATGTGTTTAGTTTGATGTTCTTTGACTTTCTGTCCTCGTTGGAATAAAGCCCGGATATTAGAAATTCCACAGCAATATCCTAGCAGCCCAGACGCTGGAGTCTGAGAGCATCCTCTGAGCTCTTATTAAATCTCCCGAGCTACCAGGCGGAGATGCTGCAGAGGCTCTAATGAAGCAATTACAGGCAGGACAGGGATGAGTACCGAGCCCCGGACCAGACTGCTTTTTACTACCACTAAAAAGCTAAGAGCCGGGCACAGAGGAGTGGCAGGGGTGATATTTATTCTCAGAGTGTTAAAATTGGATTATGGGACGCTCAGGTACGGGTGAGGACAATTAGATTGTGGAGGAGGAGGAGAGAGGCGACAGTGAACGCACCAAAAACTAAACTTGGCCCTGGATCTGGTGTTAGAGCACAAATACAGTCCACAGGTTCATTGTCATGTCTTCAAAGCTGCGTTAAAAAGACTTTTAGTTGAATTCTGTCGCACACGTCTGTTTCGTTGTCGTATTTATCCCAAACAAATATAGAAAATGCTATCATGGATTGGTCTTCTTTAATAGAAATGTCATGTTACCTCTGAATAACAATAAGATATAAGCATAATTTATGACTAAGATGAATCCCCCTCCCTCCTCTTAATTGAATTTACTATAATGCACGTGAGCAGCGAAGGCAGAGGCTGCAAATGTAAATGCTCGAGATCGATGCAACTTCTGAATGCGGTTTTACATCGCTTGTTCTTGAGAAGCCTTTTATCTCATTTCTCAAATCCACGAGCACCGCTGACGAATGGTTTGAAATCCAACAGGGACGAGCCTTCATATTTACAGTGAAGTCAGTGTTCACAACCAGCTCGTTGCCTTGGTAACCTAGAGTCAATGGTTTTAGCTGCAGCTTTTAAATGTTTAAGGAGATCACTAAAAAACAAACGGTGTTCGTTCAGTCACACCAGATGAATACCAATCTTACCTGGAATACAACATTCTTTTTAAGCATTCAACAAGTGAGCTACACATTTGTTTTTTCTCAAATTTAAAATTGTGTTTTTCTGCACATTCTACGCTGAATTGTATTTTCCACTTCGTAAAGCTGCTTTTTACGAAACATTTATTTTTCCTGGGGCGAATTCAAAACAATGAAAACAAGACATTCGACAAACAGACTCAAAGACCGACGTACAACTGCTCGACTTGCTCGGCCTCACGTCTCGTAAACAGAGTTAATATCTCTTCAACGCAAACCGAGCTCATATGCACATGCAGTCACCAGGGGGCGATCAAGATAACTGGGGAGCTGTCATGATTCACTGCCAACACAAAACATCATTTGAAAGATTGATTTTAAGAAGTGACATATTGACCATGAATCTAAAAATCTATTTTTCCGTATTCTGTATTTCATAAATCATAGCTCTTCAGCAAAGGGTGGTGATATTTATAAATCGTGATACAATCACATTCTGGAGTCAGATCCACGTGATACGGTTGAATTCTAGATGCATTAACTCCTCCAAGCCGCCTAGAATCAGCGCAACAGTTTTATAGTTACGTAATATCTCACGTGGTATTTGTGTGACAGAATCAGAGCAGGACTGGATGGACTGCTCCGAAAACAAAAGAAAAACAAAGAGCGAAAAAAAACGAAGATGAGAAGTAAAATGTTCATCTTGCGTCAGCCTCTGCTTTGTGGGTTGTTGGGTCAAATCTCAGGGGAGCTGCCAAAAAGCTGTGGTTGTAAACATGAATGAGAAATGTTTACCGGGTTAGAGGAGAGCCGCAGGGAGCCGGGGTTCGATTCACACCGGTGACACAGTCGTGCTCGTTGTCGACGCGTGTGTGTGTTTGTGTGTGTGTCTGTGATAAAATCCAGCAAACACGCGGCTCATGCAAAGTTCAGCACAGGATTTATTCCCTGTCACTGTTTGTCTGTTTGAAATCAAACCCAATCAGTGTGTTTACACAAACACTAATTAATTCATCAGGTGAGATGCTCCCGTTAGTGCAGCTGTATCATTAACTCTCTCACCGGGTTAAATTGGGCGAACAAAGATCGAAATCTAAACAAGCTTAACGTGATGAATGGGCCTTCGTTATTTGTGAATCCTTGTTTCATAATTACATAGAAGTGAATTAGAGAGATTTCGCTCAGACTCGTGAATCGGAGCTCGAACGCTCGGATCGGGTTCACGATGAAAGTGTTTATTTGCACAAACGTGTCATCAGAAGTGGACGAACCACAGAGAAGTGCATCGAACGAAAGCAGCCGCCAGTTAGAGACGACGAGATGAACCGGAGTCGTTATATTGATGCAGCGACAGCGAGTTTGTGTTAAAAGCTTTGTTGTGCTTCCTGTCTGTGGAGCTGATGTGGTCGTTTCCTCTCGTGGTCATAAATCATACGTCTCGATGTGGGTTGGTGTAAATGCAGAAAACATATATTTCAAACGATCAGATCCAGAGTGACAGATTTTTTTAAAGCTTCTGTTTCAGTATCCGTTCTTGTGAACCTGAACTGAACAGTGCTCTGGCGCTTCTAATCTCTCTGCTGTGTTTGTTTGTCATTAACGTATCGTGGCTCAGCTCGTGCACGTGCGTGTAGTAAAAAGTGCACGCTGCATTAAGCCACGCCGCACGTTATCAAAAGAGCAGCAGCAGCTATTTCGGTCTCAGCTAATCAGCTCCGACTCGACGTAACTCCTGCATGGATTTACAACGATGAAACGACAGACACAACAGCCGTCCCTCTGTTCCAGCCAAGTGGAAGAAGACCCCTGCCACGTGCTGTTACCCAACATGCACCTCAGCCGCCTATTTCAGTCGCTGGGTGTCCAACACTATTGACCCAAAAGTGCTCAACGTTGTGACCCTAGACATTCACGGTAATCGTGCAGGGTCTAACTAATGATAATGGAGGTGACAGTGAACTGAGTCTCAGTCCGTTTAGATTTAAAGAGTTTGATCTGAAACACATTTCAACCACTTTTAACGTTTGTCAAGAGATTACAATGAACTTCTTTAGATGAAGACTCCATCTTGGATTATTTAAACTAGTGCTGTCATTGAAGAACTGGTTTATCTGAGTTTCTAACTTTGAGCAAATTTGTTGTACATGAAATCTTCTTTTACTTCTTCCTTCATAAAAACAAACCGTCTCAAGTGACATTTAATCCTTGGCTGAACTTGGTCTTTGATTGCAGCTCTGAGGAAACGACTCCTAATTGTTGTGAAACGTTTCACAGTCACTTAATTGCTCAATAACATGACCACAGTCCCTCAGACACACACACACACAAAAATAAGCACAAACAATTAGTCACTTAGTGACGCACAAACACACACTCCCGCACATCCTCTGCCGCCTGTAACCCACTCACCGCTCGGTTAACAGCCTCCCCGGGGGGTCGTCACACGCGCTGCTATTTTTAGAGGATTCATTAATAGTGCGAAGAGGAATTGACTTTGCTCCGTCCTGAAGGAAAGGCACGATGACTGTGAAGATGGCTAAATAAGTGTCAGGCCACTGGGACGTGCTCACAGCCAATTTATTTCCAGTGGCAGAGTCGAGAGTTTTCAGTCAGCAAAATGTAAAATGAAAGTTTTCTCAAGTGCCAGCAGCAGCAGCAGCAGCAGGACTGGGCAGGAGAAAAGAAATCACTGCATCAT